GGGTCTACTTACTGGCTCCGACTGATCGTACACATCGCATCCTCCTTAAGTATTTTGAAAACCATTTAAAAATCATTTTGAAAATATTTTCCTTAGTTTGAGACTGGATTCACACGAGTGTTCCTCCAATTCACTCAAACCAATGCTTTGATACCAACTTCTAACATCCATAAATTTCAATAAAATTTAAACTTTTTCAAAACAACCCTTTCTAAAAAAAATGTTTACAAAACCATTTGTGTCCAAAAACATTATTTAAAATCAGAGCAATTTACAACATAGTTTTCAAAACATTTTCATTATCAGAGTATCCCAGAAATCATAAGTCCAAAACGCGATGATATGTACGGTCACGCCTTCACCTTGCCACGATCCACTATAATACCTGAAACCATAAATCAAAACTGTAAGCACGAAGCTTAGTGAGTCCCCCCAAAGCACCAACACACAACAATAGCACAAATACAAATAAACAGCATGTATACAGAGCCTCAGCATGTATGGACCGCCTCACCGGGCCTTTAGCCTGTCTGGGTACAGAGTCTTCAGCATATCTGGACCGCCTCACCGGGCCTTCAGCCTGTGTGGCCCACTCTCAGAACTTTCAGCATGTCTGGACCGCCCGCACCGGGCCTTCAGCCTGTCCGGACCGTTCTTCGGGCCTTGGGCCTGACTGGTACGGCCCTTTGGGCCTTCAATCTATCTGGGCCGCCCTTGGTCTGTTGGCCTTGAGCACAAAGCAGGACCGCCTCAACCTACCCGCCATCACACAATATATCACAATATATATATATATATATATATATATATATATATATATATATATATATATATATATATATATATATATCAAATGCTAGCTAGCACATATAGTAATCATACAGATAATGTACCGATACAAACATTACGGGGTTTGTTGACTGGTAGCACTAAGTAGTACAGTCTCAACCCAACCCAACTACATCAATACATGCGACCGGTATACATATAGCCATAACAGATAACAGGCAGATCTAACAGATCACTACGCATAGCATTATCCTATCTACCAGGATACAGATCTAATAGATCATCACAGTACTCAGACATACGATAAATCAGGATAATAATCCAAAGGGCCGGCATTGGTGCCTTCGACCCTGTTAGTACAGTGAGGAAAACTCGCCTCACAAGCAGTGCCGACTGACAAGATCCAACTCTCAAATCACAGCTCCGAACTCAACTGTCTACAACCACCATGAGACTACTCCATCAACATCCTGAAATACCCAAAATATCCTCAAGGTCAAACTTGGTCAAACTCAAAGTCAACAGTCAAGGTCAACAGTCCATGTTGACTCAACTCGTCGAGTGCATCTACTGACTCGTCGAGTTCCTTCAGTTCTCAAAAAGTCGGGAAGATCCGAGTCAACTCGCCGAGTTGTTAAGACAACTCGTCGAGTCTGCACAATATCTAGAAGATCGGGGAGACCCCGAGCCAACTCACTGAGTTGGCAGAGCAACTCATCGAGTTTTTCTAGCCTTAACCGATTCAGCCACTTCCCAAGCGAGTCTAATGCCTCAAATCATAGATCTGGTCCCCTAGGGCCTAAATACCACGTAAAGTTGCTAACTTTACGTCCATGCATGGCATCAAGAGGCTAAACACTTAAACAAGGCTTTATTAAGGGACTTAGGGCATGAAGGAGGGCCAAGACTTGATAAAGTTGGCAACTTTAAGTCCAAGGTGCCACAGAACATCCAGAGGTAGCAACTTCAAGTAATGTCTAATCCCAAGAATGAAACCATACTTCCATAGGAGCAGATCTAAGCAATAGAAGGCCAAGGTATCGACTTTATACCTCAAAATGGTTGTCACAACAGAGTAGACACCGGATCTACAGCCTCTCCCTTCAGCTATGCAACACCCACTTCAAGCTTCTTCAAATAAACACCAAAAAGGCACTCTTTAAGCTCCCACACACTCAAAATGAGAAGAAATGCGTGAACTAGGGTTTCTCTGGACAAAGGAGACGATAAGGAGGCCACCCAAGGAGTATAAGGTCCTTAAATAGGGTACAACACCCTAAAAATTAGGGTTTCATATTCAGCCACCAACTCATCAAGTTGGGGCCTTCCAACTCGTCGAGAAGGTCTTGAAGAATATGCGGCCCTTATTAATTCAACACGACGAGTTGGTGCCTCCCAACTCATCAAGTAGGTCTTGAAGAATACGCGGTCCTTATTAATTCAACACTACGAGTTGGTGCCTCCCAACTCGTCGAGTTGCCCTGAATATATATATATATATATATATATATATATATATATATATATATATATATATATATATATATATATATATATATATATATATATATCTTTAAATTCATACTTGAAGGTTGGGATGTTACAATTTTAAGATGTTCTAAAAGTACTTATGAATATAATATATTTAATATACGTTATAAAAATAAAATTACACATAACTGGTCCTTAATACATAGCGGTTCGCGGTAGTGTGACCGTCAAACCCTGACTAATTTTTACCCGTTGTTACAATTTTGGAGTGTTGTAATTTTACAAATATGGTCCCGATTTAATATTTAGGTTTACAAAAATGTCTATACTGTAAAATTTATAATAAATTGTCATGTCTTTTATAAATTTACATAAATAGTACCTGCCTAATCAAGAATTTATAAAAAGGGTCACTATCTTTTACAAAGTTACAAAAATGGTCATGTATAATAGTGAATTTACATAAATTGTCTCTTTGTTACATAAAAATACATAAATGATCTCTATGTTGACAAAATTACAAAAATAAGCCCTACAAATCAACAAAGCTAATGTTCATTGTGTTTCATAAAGATACATAAAATAATCACCAATTAATTACCGTCTTAAGTAGTTGACCTGTTTACCGAGCACAGTCTCACAAAATCTTCATATTTTGCCTTCAATTACATATTTACATATGAAAGCGACTTGTAAATTCAATTATGATTATCCCTCATCAAATAACTATTTTACAAACACATTTAGTAGAGTGAAATTTTACAAAAATGGTCCCTATTTAATATGTATATTTATAAAAATGGTCCATGCTTAATAGAAAAAATATAAAAATGGTCCTATCTTTCATAAATTTATAGAAATAGTACCTTCCCAACCAAGAAATTACATAAATGGTCCCTATCTTTCACAAAGTTACAAATTTGGTCATGTATAATAGTGAATCTACATAAATTGTCTCTCTATTCCATAAAAAAAACATGGGATATATACACTAAAGTCTCAATATTTTCAACGATTTGACAATAAAGTCTTAAACTTTATTTTTTTTTACAGTAAAGTCCTAACTACCGACAGTTTTTGACACGTTTACCCTTTTTTGTCGGTTAGCCGGTAATTAGGACTTTACTATCAAAAAAATAAAGTTTAGGACTTTCTTGTCAAATCATTCAAAATATTGGGACTTTAGTGTATAGTCTTGGTTTCCTTAGAAACAAATAATTTTATCAGCCTTGTGAGACCCAATTCGTAACCCAAGAACTTTTAATTGTGATTTTTGTTGCGGCACCACTGTTTTTCTTACCATCATCATCTTTACTCTGCTACAATCACGATTAGGGGAAATAGATGCAAAAGAGACAGCGAGGGAGGGTGATAAGACTTGAAAACGTTAAAGATTTCAATAGGATCTAGCTGACCAAAGCAGGTTCCAATAACTCTTATGTTTGAAGACTATCATACCATTAAATTTCTAACAAAAAAAGAATACATACACTAAAGTCCCAATATTTTCAACGATTTGACAAGAAAGTCTTAAACTTTATTTTTTTACAGTAAAGTTCTAATTCACGATTTGACAAGAAAGTCTCAAACTTTATTTTTTTTGACAGTAAAATCCTAATTATCGGCTAACCGACAAAAAGGGTAAGCATGTGAAAAACTACCGATAGTTACACTTTACTATAAAAAAAATAAAGCTCAAGATTTTTTTGTCAGATCATTGAAAATATTAGAATTTTAGTGTATATATCCCAAAAAACAAAGAAATAATCTATGTCTAACAAAATTACAAGAGTAGGCCCTACCAATCTGCAAAGCTACGGTACATGGGTGTTGCTAACAAGACACCCTCTAGACATCCTATTGACACTTTTATAAAAAGTCTACCAATAATTAACTGTTTATAATCAACTTTTTCGGAAAACAATGCAATTTCAGCCAATAAATAAATTTAAAAAATTAATTAGGATGTCCATATTGTAATATGAGGTGTCTTTTTAGCCAACCCTTCACAAAATTACATAAATAGCCATGGCCTAATTGCAAAAATAATAGAAATGGTCCATTCGTTTCACAAAATTATTAAAATAGTTCCTGCCTAATAGCAAATTTATAGTCGTGGTCCCCATGTTTCACAGAAATTACAAAAATAGGCCTTATATAAGATGTCATGATAGAAATAATATTGAAGATTAATAAATCACCCGGAACATATATGATGAATATGAGGAGGAAGAGTTCGTCGGTAAGCTCGTCATAGATGTAGAATTGGAAGAGGGTTTCAAAGCATACTTATATACTTGGTGTCATGCATGTGTTCTTTTGTTATGTAAATATATTCTTATTTTCATACATTCCGTGTTTTTTATTTACATATGTGGTTCAAACAGACACATGCATGATGTATGATGATGTGTCTATTAGTGTTATACATACATATACTTCTGGACTCCGGTCAAGGATCTACTAATAAAAGTCAAGTTCGCACTCAATAACAACTGTGGTTTACCTCATTATCAACCGACTATTCTAATGCTGGAAGGTAAATGTGAAATTTAACCCAAAACATTATCCACTAATCCGCTCGTTAACTCTAAAAAGGTTATGAAAAGTTTATCATACGAGGGTAAGAAAAAAAGTAACCTTCTAGCTAACCCCGCCCCCTTCCCCACTCTCTCCCTTTAATTACATAATAAAATGACTATAATACTCTTCCAACCAATTTATTTCACCAATTCCCCCTTTTCCATAAGAATACACTCTTTATCAGTAATAGCAACGTACTTTAACTTTTACAAAATTTTCCAAAGTCAAATTTTAGCAAAACTAACACAAATTTATATTGATTAAAGTAACATACTCTACTAGATTGAGAATAATATAAAATAAATACACTTATTCTCCAAAATAGCATTGTATATTGCTAAAATTTTCAAATTATTCTTTTATTCACTTATTACAGATACTCAATTTCTCACCTAGATTATTGATGGTTAGAACAAAAAAGTACATATTTCATTTTTGTTCTATATACCGTAAACTATGAATTTCATTTTTCTGGTGGTGCAAATATTATGTTCAAATTGAATGATGAGGAAGTTGGTTATACATATTGATGTTACAATTGGTGTTGCTTTCATTAAATACATGGATTTGGTTTTACTTACATAATTGTTGTGGTTTTTGTACGTAGCAGAAAGAATATGAACAAAACTGTAGAACCAAACAAGTATTTTCTAGTTATAGTTGAAACTGAAGAGCAATGAAGCAAAATTCCAAATCCAACAAAGAAGTCTAGTTAACCCATTACATGAATAGCTAGATGCTACTTACAGTTTACCAGATCTTGGCTTTGGTACCCCAACTAAAAACCATTTCCATATATATATATATATATATATATATATATATATATATATATATATATATATATATATATCTTCCTGCCAATCTGAAACAAATTTCGGCTTTTCTCCCTTATATTCAAAAAACTCAACTCTTTTCACATCTGGAGTCATGAGTCTCCTTGCTTCACCTTCATGCAATTCCCACTCTTCCGGCCCATCAAACTTCTAGAGCATCAAACAAAACAATATGTTTTTCATGAGAGGTGCAGAAATCTAAATAATGAAATTAATTCTTGAAAAGGATATTTATTGTGTTTAGGGTATATGCGCAAGTCCCTATGTAGAGGTGGCACAATGGGTCAAAACTGAGATTTATTAAGACTGGTCATGCTGGACATAGAAAAAATAGCAGTTGATCATATGAGAATACCTCTTTAACAATCAACTGGAGAGACTCTACTTTGGGATAATATTTGAGAATTCGAATGAGTTCATCCATGGTGAACGCATCAACTGCTGTGGTTAGTGCCAGAGTCTTCAGATTAGGTAGAGCCGGATCACGTGCAGCATAAACGCACTATCATAATGACAGCAAGTAAGATTAATTTAAAAAGAAGCACTCAAGTTTTAACAGGAGCACCAGTCTTGTCTGATTTAGGTCAACCTTTTCATAATAAAAAAGGTGGTAAAGCTCCTTGCAGAAATTACACATCAAACTTTTTTTTAACAGGAATGAAGAATTTTGCATAAATAATATAAGCATGTACCTGACTAAAGAAGTAAAGGTTGATCCACAAATGTTCCACATGAGAAATTCCAGGAAACAATAAAGATTTGATGTTACCCATCAATTTAGGCTCAATCTCAGCTTTATTCAACGAGTCTAGACATTCAAAGAAAAAATTATTTGCTACAAGACCTCTTAACTCCAAATCCACCAGTTTTGGGCAACAAATCTTAATGCTGTCACACATCAACTCATCATTTTCGTTTTCAATTCTCAGTATTTTTAGCTTCGGACATGAAATATAAAGAAGATCGTGTTCGTTCAAGAAACAGGATATAAAAATCAAGCTCTCAAGCAAAGGACAGCTTTCCAGAAAACCTTTCACCAAATCGCTATCTATCGATAAGTCAACATAGGTCAAACGAAGATGCCTAAGTGCCTGAAACCCCGTAATATTAGGCAACCTTAGACTACGATAGCACAAAATTAACCCAAATACCTCCAAGGAACCGCAAGTCACAAGACAATGAGGCATATCGACATCCCCATCCTCATCCTCTGGGTGAAACAACAAGTGAAGTTGTTTGACGTTTCTTGTAACGGCTAAGTGAATCCACCGCCTCACTGTCGACAGAGAGTAGTGATTAAAACAACGTAAATGAAAACAATCCAAATCGACGGATCTGTTTGCTAAAACCCAAAACACAAAGTCTTTGAATTCCTCTTTTTTGAACTTGTCTTCTCGGTGAAATCGGGAAAATAAGTCTATGGAGGGAATTGAAGTCCACAAATACTTCCATCGTCTGGACAAAATGCTGGTCCGAATCACTTCTTCTGTGAATGAAAGACGGGAAAGAATCAAAAGAAGAATAGAATCCGGCATGTTACTGATGAAATCGACCTCATCTTGACGTTTTTGCTCAGATTTCTCCATGTCCTTTGAGTGATTTGATTCAAAAAATATTCAGAGAAGCATTGAAATCCTACTCTCGTTTTGTTTGTTAAGGGGGTGTTTGATAAATAGTTTTTAGCTTGTTAGCTGGTAGCGTATTCGGGTGAGAACACTTGTTTAAAATATGTGTTTGGATTAGTTTATTGCCGTGGAAATAAGCAATAAGCAATAAGTATTTTAAGTGTTTGACAAATAAAACAACTTATATGAGTAAAATGATCAATAAACAATAAGTATTCCCTCACTTGCTTATTAAAATCAGCTTATTTTGCTTATTCCTACCACAATAAGCTGATTTTTAAAGACTCCTATCCAAACACTTAAATTTGCTTATTGCGGTGGGATTAAGCAATAAGCAATAAGCAACCTATTTTTTCCCTATCCAAACACCCCCTAAGAATTAGGGTTTAACATTTTAGACTTGTAAAATACGAATCTGGAGACCAGGATAGTGGCCCGGATCCCCTCTCAAAACCCCCTACATCCGCCACTGCCAGCGACTATGGATTAGTCGGCTAATTGGCGATGAGCGGGAACCTTAAATTGTAAATGGATTTTTTTTTAAATTGCAAATTTAGCCAAAATGTTAATTAGTTTGTGGAAAATAGCCAAAAAAAAACCAAAATTGCATTTCTAACCATCAAAATCGCAGATGGAGTTAGTCCATCTGCGATTTTGGCAAGCCATCTGCAAACGTACAAGTCACTAAAGCACAGACGTGCTTTAGTGACCTGTACGTTTGCAGATGAGTTTTTTTCGCTGTATAAATAGCTCCTTTGCCCCCTCAAAATCGCAGATGGACTAAGTCCATATGCGATTTACTCTCCATTCAACTGCGATTTTGTGTGTTTTTTTTTTAAATTACTACGAAATTGATAGGTTTTGACTACAAAACAACATTATTATATATAAAGTTTTGTAAAAAGTTATCAGTTTAGTTGTTATTATCGGGGTTGTTCATAAAATCGATCATAATCACAGATGTGCTAAGAAAATCGCTTCCCAAAGAGAGTTTTCCAACAAAAAAGAGTGAAAAATGAACCAAAAAAAATTACGTTTTGATACATAGCTAGGGCTAGGTTCGCAGATGGGGTAGGTATGTTCGCAGATGGGGTAGGTATGTTCGCAGATGGACTAGTCCATGTGCGAACGTACAAGTCGCAAAAGCGCGGGTTGTGCTTTAGCGACTTGTACGTTCGCAGATTGAATAGTCCATCTGCGAACATTCCTACCCCATCTGCGATTTTGATGGCTAGAAATGCAATTTTTTTTTTTTGGCTATTTTCCACAAAGTAATTAGCATTTTTGGCTAAATTTGCAATTTTCTCTATTTTTTTGGGTATCATTTAACAAAAATAACCAATATTTTTTTTTTGTAACATGACCACATGCTCAGGAACTTAGCATTTTGGAGATGTGGTCTCCCTTCTGGAGTTTCTATTCTCGATTATAACCACAGTTTTTTTCGTCTCATATATATATTGTTGTGATATACCGGAGATGGGTGGATTAAGATTGCAGATGAGATCCGTGCATGCTTATTCTCCTAATATCACAGTGCAAAAGAGAAAGACGATCGTTAGTCGACGTCCGGGAGGAATTCCTAGCACGAAGCTCCGACGATCAAGTTAGTATGAGGTCTGAGTGAAATGAGAATAAATCACATGAAAAAGAGTTCTGTCCCCTTCTTCGTGAGGAAGAAGGATCATTTTATACTTGTTTAAGAGGCGTGTGCCCCTTAACTGATTCTGTTGAGCATTCCCTCGTGGGGTGCGACGTGGCAGACCCATATTGGAGGATCCTCCGTCACGTCTTTTTGCCTCTTCCCCTCATTGGCTAGAGGGGGATCTTTTAACATTATGAGGATCGTGGCTATTGTCAGATGGGCAGGTGGAACTCTCTGATTGGTCCCACGTTTTTCGGGGTGTAATCCTTAGAGAAGAGGTTAAGGTGCGGTTCTGCACCTTAACCGCCATACTTGTGATCTTCGCATTGGCGAAGGCCCGGCCCTGGCCTCGGACTGGGTCCAACTGGGTCCTGACCAGGCCAAGCTCGGCGTTAGTTTGACTTCTCCTTTTTTGACGTTCTCCCTGGGGGATACGTTAAGAAGTCCCTTAGGCTTGTAGGTGTATGCGTCGGTTTGACATCGTTACCGTTCAAGCCTATATTTCGACACACGTATGTCTGGGACTATCTCTAGCATTTGACAGGCTTTAGAGAGCGTCGTTAATTTGTGTCAGATCCATCGTGAGACGGTTTGTGACGCCAGTTATTTCTTTTAAAATCCCCCTTTTCCCGAGACCTTTCATTCTCACCTCCTTTCTTTGCTTTCGTTGTATCGACTCAAGCATTTTGCGAAATTTCCTTTCCTATCATTCATCTGTTTTAGACAATGGATCGTTATGGTAGAGTCCCTACCGTAGAGGAATTCCAACTTCTACAAGACCGTTTCGGTTTCTTACCTGAGCACGGTGTGATGATTCCGACAAAGGGGTTATCGATCTACGACTGTCCTCAAGGGAAAGTGGGGGTTTCGATCCCTCTATTCGAAGCGGGGTTGTGCCTGCCGACATTTGATTTTTTTGACATGATTGTTCGTCACTATGGCTTTTTTGTTGACGAGTTAACTCTGAGTGCCGTCAACAAGATTGTGGGTTTTGAACAGATTTGTCGATCTTTGGGTTTCATACCCACTTTTTGGGTTTTCAGTTACTTTTTATGTTCAACTACGAACTATGGCGTTTGCACTCTTGCGAAAAGGCGGGGCATTCGTCAGTTGATCTCTGAACAAGATACTCCCAAGAAGAATTGGCAGAGGCAATGGATCTGGGTTAACCGAAACCTTATGGGGCATGGTTTTCGCAAAGCCCGAGACTTTCCTGACCGTCTTCCTATCGCTATAAACAAGATAGTGGGCTTTGAACTCCTTTGTCGTACCCTAGGCCACTTGTCGACCGTTCCTGCTTTCAAGCACTTCTTTAACGCCTCCACTTAGTCAGGGACTCGAACCCTTTCTCGCCGACGGGGAGTCCCTATTCTCATCCACGATAAGAAGTCTAAGAACAACGATCTAGTGGTACTCAGTTACCCGAGGACTAAGGTGTACGTCGACCGTGCCCCCGTATTGTTTGGCGCTGACAAGGAACTTGTTGATGCCTTGGAGAAAATCAGCATCACCGGTGAAGATTGGCTTGACTGTTTCTTGGCCGCCGGCGGGATGAGTGCTGCTTGGAGGGCTCGTGGGAAGATGCCTGAATTCTTTGTTGAGAAATAGGGTATCTCTTTTTCTTCTCTTCTCTCCCCCCCCCCCCTTTATAAAAAGATTGACAAGTCATGTTTAAAGCGGTGTTTCGGCTTAACCGGCATTGTTTCTTGTTTTTACCAGGTGTGGAGGAGACTGTTTCTTTGAAGAAGGCTCTTCGAGGTCTATTTGACGGCGAGCTTCAGGTTCGCGCCGTTGACCTGGTGGAGGCTCTTCCACCTCCTTTTTCTGGCCAAGGACCCACGGCGACTGCCGATTCTGACAGTGTTACCGGCGCTGGTGAGGATCCGGACCTACAGGACGTTGTCGTCACTGGTGCTTCTCAGAAGGATCCTACACCGTCCGGGTCCCCGAGGAGTCTTCGCCGGGTTAAGAGGCGTTTTTCTTTCTTGGAAGCCTCTTCCGGCGGTCGAACTAAGGCAGCTAGCGTCGGGCCCCCTTTACGTAAGAAGCGTAATTTGAGTCTCTTACTTGGGGGTTCTAAGGATTCCAATCATGCCCCCGATGAAGGTCCTCCGAAACTGCTGGAGGGGGCACAAACCGGGGCGACTGAACCACCCTGTCATACGGGAGAAGGGAGCACCGAGAAAACCAGCCTTGTTCCCACAATTGAAAGGGTCGGGACAAAGACTGGGTCTTCGCCGCCTCATGGTCTTGCCTCCACCTCTTCTGGTAAAACCACAATTATCCCCCTGCTGATGGGTTCTCATCCGGATGATTATAAGCCAGCTTGGAGACTAACTGCTCAGGATCTTGTCTCCGATCATGACACCGCTCTCGAGTGGTGTCAGCATGCTTTTCCCCTGTTACCACTGAGGCCTTAACTGGCCTAGCGGATGAGCATATGGCCGACGACTTGTGTTATGCCACCGCCCAAGTGTCATCTTACTTAGTCGCTGCTGCTGAGCGCATCTCCGAGATGGAGACCCTCCAGTCTGACTCCGACCAGAAGAGCTTCGAGTACGAAGAGCTGAAAGCCCAAGTGGCGAAGATAAAAGCCGACAGGTGCAGCTGGGAGGCCATGCAGGAGGTGGTGCTGCTCGAGAAGGCATGCTTGGCGGATCAAGTGGCAAAGCTGGAGGAAGAGATGAGGCGCGTGAATGATCGTGTGGGGGTCCTGATGTTGGAGAACGCCAGTCTGAGCAAGCGGATGGTGGAACTGGAGGTTGATCTAGTTGCTAAGAACGCTGCAAAAGGAGCGCTAGAGAAGGATGTTTCGTGGATCCTTAGTGATGGGCTCAGTCAGGTGGTGGATAGGGTGATTGAGAGCCCTTAGTTTCTTCAACGCTTGGTTCAGGTGCAAGCGGCTTGTGTGGCGGCAGGGGTGGAGCAGGGAAAGAGGGTTGCGAAAGAGCTGGTGACTGCTGGAGAGTTTAATCCGGATGTTGAGGTGGACGTGGCCACCAAGACCCAAGAAATGGAAGACGCCATGGTGACTTTTACTGGAACAAATTTCGCTGGCTATCTCCGCCTGGGCGGTCTGGACATAGCCGGGCTCCGTCATATGTGCCAAGACGTTCAGAGCGATGGGTCTGGCCCTGGCCCAAGTTCTTCACCCGGTGATGGTAACACCCCTGCCCACAAGAAGCGCTGTTTATTTGATTTGTTTTGATGTAAATCTGTTGAACAATTTTTTCTATTTCTTGCTTTGTTTTTTTGTATTTGCTGCCCTCAATGGCAGTCTGAAAGTTTGGGAGTCCGACGACTTTTACAATATTTACTTTATATTTGTGGGTATGAATGCTTGCTGTTACCGCACATATTCTTTTGTTTGCTTCATGTATGGTTTGTGTTGGCCATCACATGGTATTTATGCAGGG